TGACTAAATATCTGTCTTTGTCTGGAAGCTCATCTTAAAGCTATCCACCATGGGTGACCCTGCTGGTATTTAAAATACCAGTGGCATAGCTTTCAGAATCACAGCAACTCACAAGCCACCACAGTACAACAAACTGACAGATGAGTGGTGGATATGCATGTATATGTAGGTATAAGTCCTGGTATGCCACTGTAGAATATGCACTGGACCACAAAGTTGGCAGTTCAAGCCTACCAGCAGCTCCTTGAAAGCCCTATACAGGGCCGCTATGAGTTGCAGTGTAGTAATTTCCAACTCAACAATAATGCATATATTCTTAAACAGAATAAAGTACATAGTAGGTACAGTTACGGAGACTTTCTTAGACATACCCAAACACTTTGTGGGACATTGGATTTCTTGGTTTGAAGGATTAGGACCACAGTCTGGTTGGGCATCTCCATCAATTGGCAATTCCTTAAGTTTTATATCCTAATTTGGTGAGTAATTTCTAAGGTTCTAAAGGCTTGTGAGTGACTATTCAATTATTGCCACTTGTCCAAACCAAAAATAAATAAATAAATAAAAGGAAACCAAAGATTATCAAAGATGAAACTAGTTTAAAAGACAAACAGTTTACATAAAACACAGTTTCTTTAACCCAGAGGCCAGAACTAGATGGTGTCTGGCTACAAACTACCAATCATTCTTACCAGAGCTACAAAAGATGGACCTTGATAGAATGATAAAACAGGTGGAATGGAACTTCAAATTCCTAAAAACAAACATAGCAACCACGACAAAACCCAGACCTACTGACTGGTTGAGGCTGGAGGACTCCCGAGACTATTTCTCTGAGATACTTCAAACCTTGAACACTAACCCAAAGTTATCTTGTGTGATAATAACAAATTGGCTCAAAATATAATATCACCTGTAAATCCTATTCTTCTTTAAAGATCAAACGTCAACAATTACTTCACATCAAAGGTGAGAGTTAAAATAGGCAGGGAAGTTAGATTAATGGAAATGGAACCAGAGAGGGAATAATGAGAAGGTTCATATTGTGAAAAATGTTACCAATGTTACTGAACAATTTGTGTAGAAATCATTGAATGAGACTCTAAACTGCTGTATAAACTTCGACAAAAATACTATATTTTTTAAAGTATAGGAAAATAAAACAAAATAAAAACTGACTTGTACATTTGACCTAGCCTCGATGGCTTATGAGCAGAACTCGACTAGAGGAGGATAAAAAAAAAATTTTTTTAATAAAGGAAACATGCTGCAATTTCATGAGCTTGACCTATACTTATGGATGTTTATACTTAAAATACCAACTGAGAGGGAAGAAGTCTTCACATCAAGTAACAATCCTATCCCCTCTGTATACAGGGTTGATAGGGACACGCAATTTAGAAATTGGCTTCCTAAAATGGGGGCAGGAGGGGAAGGCTTATAGCATGAAGTTACTGGGTTACAAGTTTCAAGAGGGAGTTTAGTTTCAGAGTGTGCAGGGGAAGGTAGAATCCCCACTGAACATTTTTCATCTTGTCTAGACGGGTCGGTCTGGTGAAAGGAGATGTGGCTAAGATTCTTATGATTCAATAGTGAATAACTGTTATCATGACTAAATGTGACTGTCACAACTGTAAAAGTAGACGTTTTATAACAAAAAGGGGGGAGTAGTTAATCCTACAGTCCAGGAACAGAGAACTCTAGAACCATCAAGGGAGAAGAGCACAAACAGAATATGGACCCTATCCAGAGAAGCAGTGACACCAGAGATGGAAGCAGAGATGAGGACACACGGAAAGAGAAAGTCTGTGTGCTGGCGGCTAGGAGGCAGGTTTGCAGAAATATGCCCTTTAATTGTTTAAATGATTATATATTCTAAGTGTTTTTGTGTACATTCCCCACCCACCAAAAAACAACAACAACAAAAACAAACAAATAAACAAACAAACAAACAAACAAACCAGAGGGGGAATAGAAACAAATACTGTTGAATGATGATGAGTGGAGATTGGAATCTTTGCAACGAAACGAGGAGTGTAAAACCAGTGTTTTCTCATGTACTCTAAAACTCAATTCACAATAAAAACTTATAAAAAACTGACTTGAATATGCAACAAGTGTACATAAATTCACAATAAAAAGTTAAAAACAAATAAACAACTGATTTGTGTAGTGTCTTCATTCCTTACTAGACAATTTAAAGGTTGATATTGTGTTTGTCTTCTAACCCAAGTGCCTAGCACAATACTGAATTAATGGCAATCAACAAGCACCAGGGGAGAGAATTACAAAACGTGTCTTCATGTGCACATACGAAGCCCAGCACACCGTCAGCAAACTCTCTATCCATGTGAATTATTATTATGATCCCTGGCATCCCTGTACTCCAATTCTCAAACTCAATTCTACCCTTTCCCTCCCTTCTCCATGCTTCTCTCTCTCTTCAAACTTCTCCCTTGCAGTAGGTCCCTTATCCCACAGTAAACTCTTTGAAACTCTGTCACTTCACTGAGTGCTTCTTACACCTTTGGTCTTGCCTCCCACAAGGACTTCACTCTGTAGGCCTCTGTCATTGACCATGCACAAGGTGTCACAAAACAGCTCAAAGTTACGTCAGGCTGCATGTTCCTTACTGCCCACTTCTGTTTCTAGTTCATTACTCATTTTCATTCTAAAAGATCATGTATACAACGTCATTTTAAGTTCATACTTCTAAGCTTCATCTTCTCATTATTATCACATAGGTTAAATCTACTAGTGGATCCTAAATATACACTGAAGATCATAGTCTTCCTACCACATACTCTGACATCAATGCAGGTACATTCAGGTCTCAACAGCCTCTAACATCACAACATGTTAGTTTCATCTTGTAGGGAAAATTATTTCCTTTCTTCTATTTCTCACAATAATGAGCACTCCTTGGACTTGTCATCACATGTAATATTCAATTATTAAACTCCAACATCACTTTCTAACCAGAATCTTTCATCCTATAAAGCTCATTTGTGCTTCATTTCAATCCAACAACAATGTGACCAAATGGTGATCTTCAGTCCTTTAAATTCTTCATTGAGTCTTTGCTGTCCAGCCCCTCTGATCCCATTCACTTCTCTGGGCAACTTAGACTTCATTTATCTGAATCATTCTCTTACCAAACTGCCAGCTCCTTTGCTCCTATGACACTTGCCACATATACTGGACAATAACATACCCAGATCAGTCCCACAATTTGTATTCATGGATCCCATAGCCAGGCTATTACACATAATCACATTGCCATATATTCCCTTGTGTATTATGGGTTCCAATAACCTCAGCACCACTCAGCAACTTTTTTCCTTGTCATTGTCATTGTCTTTGGTGATGACTGCAAATCTCAACTTCTAACCCCTTCACGCCTACTGAACTCATGTGTTGTTGTTGTTTAATGTCATTGAGTCATTATGTGGTTCTGACTCACAGCAACCAGTAAAGGGTTTCCAAGGAATGGCTGGTGAGTCAGAACTACCAACCTTGCAGCTCACACCAACCTTGGAGTCCAGTGCATTGCCCCACAGAGTATTATCTACCAAACCCATTTAAATATAAGTCATAATCTTGTCCTACAAACCATTCCTTTTCTATTTTGCAAATCTACTTAAATTAGAAGCCCATTAATTATTCTAGATGAATACTGCCCAATAGAATTTACTAAACTGATGCAAATGTTCTATATTTGTCCAATGTGTAGCCACATGACTAATAAACACTAGAAATGTGTCTACTGCAACTACAACTAAGAAATTGAATTTATTAAATGTAATTTTAAACATTTAAATTTAAACTTCAATTTGACCCCTCCCTCTGTCACTCATAAGCCATAAGTTTATGGATTTTATCTGCAGTATGGATTTTATCTGCAAAACACCCATGTCTCTGCCTTTCATCCCAATGCCAACTTCTCTGATTGATCATGCCATTCCCTTACTAAAATTTTCCAGTGTCTTCAAAATATCTTTATAATAAAATCTGTGGGTTTTAGCTGAAATCTAAGGCATTTCACATTCTAGCTGCCCTCATCTATAGCCTTATCTCTCATTACTACCCGTATTGGCTGTTCACATTCAGCAACACTTACCTACATACATTTCTCTATCAGCATCCCATGCTATTTTACATTATGATTACCTATTGCCTCTTCCCATCTTTTTCATATAAGTAATTCTCAACCCAGATATCACCATTTCAAGCAAACCTTCCTCCAATCCCTCAAGTAAAGTACCTTTAAGCACCAAATACTCCACACAGAGCTCAGTTACTATGAATTGAAAGTGTCTGGAGAGACCCATCTTCTCACTAAGCAGTTAAGTAAATACCAGCCTACTAAGCACAGATATAACACTTATTAAGGACTCAATCCATCTCTGTCATACTCAGCACAAGTGGCCTAGTAGGTCCTAGGACAACGTAAGTTTCTGATATTCACTTTTCCCACCCCACATCTCTTTTTTCATTTTTTTCTTCTCTTTGATCAGAAGTTGGTCAAGCTAAACTGCAAATGGCATTACTTAGTTTCTGGTACCAAGAAGTAGAAGGGAGTTCCTTTAAAGATCATTCCTAGTTCTCTGTCCCATCCTATTCCAAACTGCTAGTCCTGATACAGCTGTTAATTTAATGAAACATATATAACACTGATTTTTTTAAAACTTACAGTCTTCTCCACAACTTTTAAAATTCGAATGATGAAATCTTGAAATATCTGGTAGTTTTCAAGGAAGATACGGAAATATTTCAAATCCAAAGGCTTTTTCAGGGACCTAGGCCAGTACCGGTGGCACTTGACAATTCCATCTTCTACCTCTCTAGACATCATGGCAATAACATTAGCTTGATTTTCCAAAACCATTTGCCAAAAATCACTTATGGTTCCTGGCAGTGGTCCTTGGGTAGCAATGTAAAAATATTCTTCTCCAGAATTCACTATTTTAATATAACTAGCATTGATGTAGTCCTTGTTTTTTCCAAGAGGTACACGTGTTGAATCATCTATTATAGAAACAGAAACATCAATTAGATACAAGAAGAGCTAGGGGTATGATACACCTAGACTTCAGGAAAGCATTTCACAAAGGTAAGTCAGCAGACTTGACTGATAATGAACATGCCACAAGTTTCTTTTCAAAATGGTCATTTGAGTTCATGAGTTTAAAGTATTTCTTTCCAAAGAATCGAATGGGTGTATATATATATATATTTATATTTGCTGGGTAAGTGTTACACTTGGCTGTGAGGAGTAGGGAGGGGTTATTGAGAAGACAGCTGCAAGGCAGGGAAAGCCACTCTTTTGCTGAGTAATTTTATTCTTTCTGGGTAAAGCGGAGCTCCAAATGTTTATGTAAAATGAAGAAAGAGTACTTGGGGCAGTGAAGCTGACTGATAGGACAAGTGGTCAAGTGACTATTTTCTACCCCCTCCTATATGTAATTTGTTTGTTATAACAGTCTATGTTATGTTAATTGAAGCAAATACCATTGGTAGCAACATTTTGTCACAGTAATGTAGTTTCCATTAACAGGCCATTTCTGCAGAAGGGCATAAAAGTTGGCTGCCTTATGTGGGGGCACTAGTTGAGTTCACTTATCCTAGGTATTACTCCTGACAACTACCACAGGCAGCCTTTGACCCTGGCCCCTGCTGCTCTGGGCTTGCAGCTTTTTGGGATTCTGCAAGTGAATGCCATTCACTTACCTCCTTAGGGTTCCTCTTTTGTTATGCTGAATTGCCAACACATGAGTTGGAACCAACTCCAAGGCACTTAACAAGAAGTTTCTTCCTCAGCCTAATTCTACTTGTGCTACATCTACCAGTAATCTCTCAAAATGTGTGGGATGCTGATTCCACTCTTCTCTGTTTAGTGAACACTGATTTAGTAATAATAATTTTAAAAAGTCTCCTAATTGTACAAGGGGTCTTCAAAAAGTTCAGGAAAAGTGGATATTATGAAAAAATTATACATGGATTTTGACACTTAACAACAATACATGGATTTCAAAAACAATACCCACCAAAATATACTCATACTAACTTGCTATGGCCTGTCTGAACAGGATCTCCTCTGGGGCACTAAGTAAGACATCAGTTTGTTAAGAATGCTGATAAAATTGTAGCAAAAGCAAACCTCAAATTATGATGAAGCTTGGGTGGAAAAATGATGAAATCACTGACAATTTACAAAAAGTTTATGGGAACAATGCCGCTGAAAAAAACAGCAACTTATAAACTGATAGCTCGTTTTAAGGAATGAGACAATGTTGAAGATGAAACTCACAGCGGCAGAGCATCCACATAAATTAGCAAGGAAAAAATCGATATTGTTCATGCCCTAACTGAAGAAGACTGGCAATTAATAGTAGAAATAACAGTTAAAACCACAGACATTTCAATTGATTAAACTTACACATTTCTGACTGAAAAATTAAAGCTGAGCAAACTTTCTATTTAATGAGTGTCAAAAGTGTGCCCAATCAGTTGAAGATAAAAAGCAGAACTTTCAGTGGAAATGAGATCAAGATCCTGAGGCATTTCTTCTAAGAATATTAACAGACAGAATCCTAACAGTAGCCAGGGAAAAAGGAAGTATATACTTACAAAGGCAAACAAATCAGATTAAGCTCTGATCTCTCAGTAGAAATCATGCAGGCAAAGGGAAGACATACATAAAACCCTAAAAGAAAAAAAAACTGCCAACCAAGAATCATCTACCCAGCAAAGCTGTCAATAAAATATGAAGGTACAGTCTATAAAAACAGAAGCTAAGAGACAAAAGTGTCTTGAACTTGATGGTGCTTATGTTAAGAAATAGACTTTATGGACTCTATTTTTATAGTTTAATCCCATTTCCCATAAACTTGTTGAAGTTCACTTACTTATATAATAACAAACCCTCTGAAAATATTTTGATATTCATCAGGCTTTAAAAAAAAAAAAAGATATGGTAATATGTAATAAGGAGCTCTGGTAGCTTAGTGGTTATGAATCCGGCAGCAAACTGCAAACTCCCACAGCTGTTCCGTGGGAGAAAGATAAGGCTCTATGCTCCTGTAAAGATTTACAGCCTAAGAAACCCTGTACCGGGGTTGCTATAAGTTGGAACCGACTCTACAGCACAAAATACTACTAATAATATGTAATTTAAAACAACAACAAAACAGACCTAACAAATATCTATCAAATGCTAGAACTGACTATTTTATTATATTTCTATAGTATCACTGCATATCGCAGGTTGTTAATGAGTCTTCTTCCAATCCTGATGCCATGTTTTTCTTCATAGAACCCAGCTTCTCGTATTATTTGCTCAGCATGGAGGTTGAATAAGTATGGTGAAAAAACACAACCCTGTCGCACACCTTTCCCAATTTTACAACATTCAGTGTTCCCATGCTCTGTTCAAACAACTGCTTCTTGGTCCAGGTACAGATTCCTCAGAAGTACAATTAAGTGTTCTGGAATACTCATACTTC